ATGCAAGCTCTGAGCAAGAATAACACTTGGGAGTTGGTTCCTCTTCCTAGTGAAAAAAACCCAGTAGAGTGTAAGTGGGTGTTCACCATTAAGCAGAAAGCAAATAGGACAATTAAACGGTACAAAGCAAGATTAGTGGACAAGAGGTTTACCCAAATGTATGGAATTGATTATCAAGAAAACTTTGCTCCTGTTGCGAAGATGAATTCCATTCGAGTTCTTCTTTCATGTGCTGCTAACTTGGGATGGTCTTTACAACAATTGGATGTGAAGAATGCCTCTCCATGGTGACTTAGAGGGGGAGGTGTATATGGATGTACCACCGGGATTCTCATCTCAATCTACAGTTGGCAAAGTTTGCAAGTTGAAGAAGGCTCTATATGGTTTGAAACAATCTCCCCGAGCTTGGTTTGACCGATTTCTAAAGGCTATGTTGAGATTCGGGTATAAGCAGAGCAATGCAGGGCCAAGGTATTTGAGATCAAAGATCTTGGCTTGTTGAGATACTTTCTTGGAATTGAAGTTGCTAGATCTGACAAAGGCATCTTTATTTCTCAAAGGAAGTATGTTCTAGATCTTCTTGGGAAAACTGGTATGTTGTGGTGTGCCGTTCGGCACTGTTTTGGTTGTTCTTAGAGTACCGGGAGAGAAACAAAAATAATGTGCCCATGTATAATGTATGGCATGTGTGCAAAGGTTATTTGGAGGCTTGCATGTGTGTCTTTGGTAAAGTGAAGGGCTGAAGGTGTGTTTGGGTGCTAATGGGTCGGATTGTGAGGGTGCAACGTAGTGGGTGTAAACTGTAGTCTAAAAATTCTGCACACAAATACAAACTTTAAAAATCAAGGAATTATATCAAACGGATGAATTTTGAATTGAAATTTTTACGGTAGATTAATTACATATTGAATTGCATACCAGAAATTTCTTTCAATTTTTGAGAGTTGAAATTCATATAAATTGATGCGTTCAAATCTGTCCAGAAAACTAGTATAAAACTGTAACTTCGAAAGTGTCATTCTCTGTGGATATAAATTTGAAAATTATCAAATCAGTGTTATTAGAACCGGTTACGAATCTAGTTTCTTACATTTTTTTGCCTTGGGTTGATTGCTCGTGTATATTAAGAGAACTGTTAATTTCTTTAAAGTGTTGCAAAAAGCGATCTGTTTGGACATAATTAATTGCAAATAATTATTTTGATAAGCAAATCAAGTAAAACCAATTGGGTTTGAAACTTAGGATATATGAGTTGATATCTGGAGGGTTTTGGAATTTTTCGAACAGCGTGGGGTGAGTTTTTAATTTTCAAAGTTAGCAAATAGATTGGGAAAACTTGTTTAAAATTTTATTTTATCTCAAAGTCACATTCAATTAAGTTTCGATTTGAACCCAGGTCTTGGATAATTTGAGACATTGAAGAACATGAACTTAAGTATTATTTACGAGTAACAATGCGTTGGGTTGAGCTGTGTTAGTGCGTTTTAGTTTGGGATTACTTAGTTTATTATTCCTTTTAATAGTTTTGAATTAGTAATGACGTATAGCTTTCATACTTTGTTCAGGCACTAGTTGGACTTTCATACTCTATTCGAGAATTATATTATTCCGTTTTCAAGTAAGTAGTTGCATGCTACATATTTTTGTAAATGTTTCCTTACCCTGAACTGTTGGTTAAATTATTATGATATTTTTAGAATTGGGCTATATCTAAAACATGTGTAAACTTGGTATACTGTAAACTATTAGTTATGATCTCATATTTATAATGGTGAATTAGCACGTTTTGCGAAACTGAATGGTATTGATTATTGGGACCATCTATATATATAAAAGTCCAGGGAATTTATTCCACTGTGTGTGGTGACTCTGGTTACTAGGGAATAGATCCGGATTGGACTGTGATGACTCTAGTGCTCAAAGATTGTAAGGAAAAGACCTAGGCTAGGCTAGGTGACCTTCAGTTGGATCGTCTAAGAGAAAAGGCCCGGGTTGCCACCTAAGGATTTTAGACTTGATCCATTTCATGCTCTTGAATCCAGGATTCCGTGTCTTTAATTGTTGTTTATGCCTTTTTCAAATTGTTGGTAGTTGGGTTGAGTGTTGGTCGTGTTTGAAACAGGTTGAGAGTTAGTTTTTCAAAAGGGTTGTTGTCCAGTTTTTTTCTTGTTCGCTTGAGCAGTGTTTTGGGCGCTCGAGCGGTCTTTGAGATTTCCCAATATTTTCGCAAGTCTGCAAAATTTCTGGGAGTAGGTTATCTTCACTCAAGCAATCTTTCCTGCGCTCAAGCAGTCTTTTGCAGTCTACAAAACTTCTGGGAGAGAGTCATTGTACGCTCGAGTGGTGTTCTTGGTCACTCGAGCGGTGTCACTTATTGTGTCTGACGCTCGAGCGATGTTTTGGTCACTCAAGCAGTCTATGCATTTATCAGATCAGGAAAAGGAAAATTTTAATCACTTTTTCATTCCTCTTTCTCTCTAAAACACCTCTAACCCTAATTTCTTCACTCTCTCTCTCTCTCTCTCTAGTTTTTGCCCTAAAACCTGAAATACACCCTCACCCATTGATTTATCCACCATAGCTCTTTGAAGAAAAAGATAGAGCTCGTCAAAAGCTTCATTCTAATTAGAGAGGATCTTATTTTCAACTTCGTCAAAGTTTTACCCTTGTTCTCTTCCTCTTCGACTTGTGAGGTAGGAATCTCTTTAATCTTTGGTATGATTCTTAGCCTAGTTATTTGCTCTTTGAAAAGGTTTAGTAATTTGGGAATTTTGGGTTAAACCTAGGGTTTGATTTTGAAATGTAAAAGAGAGGTTTTTCAAATAGATTCTTGAGAAGGTTGTGGATGTGTATAAAATATTGGGTTGTGTTGGATTGTTGAAATTTCCTTAAATGTGATTTTGAAAGTGAAGGAGGGTTTGTTTGAAAATCATTTGATTTATGGAAGAAAAGGGAAAAGATGTTGGGTTTTGAAAAGATAAGAGGAATGTATCTGTTGATGATGAGAGTGGAGTTGGATATGTAGTATCGCTCTCATTTTGAAAATGATGAGGTTATATCTATTGCTGAAAAATTATCTGTTGAATAGAAATATCTATTTTGGGCTATCGATAGAGGATAACTTTGATTGTTGTAAAAATTACATAAAGATTAGGTAAATTGAACCCATTTACTCATACATCCTGCATTGAGTATTGTTTCATACTTAAACATTGAAAATGTGTTGTTTTGAGAAAAATGGGTGAATATACCTTGGTGAATCTGGTTAGGAGGTATGGTTGTGGTTATTATGTTAGCCTGTGTGTCCTTGGTGAAAGTCCAAAAACCCGCGCGGTTAGGTGCCAATCCTTCCGGTTAGTACCGCTAAAATGGCTTTGGTAGTGCTTGTATAGCTTACTGGCAAAAACATACATAGAGATTCCCAATATTTTGTATCCACTGCCTTATTTTCTGATATAAAATGATATTTTTTTTTCATGAATTGATATATAATCCTGGCATTGCATTATTTTGAGATGGAAATGTAAAACGTCTGACAAATGGCAAACATATACATTCACCTTATGACTTCGTTAAGTTTTATATATTGTGTTAAAGTATCTCTACTGAGCTTTAACTCACCCTATATGGAAAACAACTTTTAGGTGCTGATGATATGTCTTCTCTAAGGACATAGTTTAGGAGGACTTAGAGCCAAGAGCTCATTTTGTTTCTTTTGATGTAATTATTTTTGTACAAACTATAGGCTTTAACTATATTGAGTTGAACTCACTTTTGTTATACCCAAGCATTGATTTGGAAAGATATAGCCATTGGGGCATAAACTTGCCTGTATCTCCTTATGTTTCAATTCATTTACACATGTCATATGCTATAGATTTAGAATCTAGGATTTATGAATGTATACATGTATATGTCATCTTTTGTATGATTGAGGAGTATCAATGGAAATTTAAATATATCGTAGATTACACATTATATGGAATATTACGCTATGGGGGGTTATTATTTCGGAGCGTTACAAGGATGACACTTGGTTTGATATTGGATCCAACGGGCTTATTACCTTGAGAACTTTGTGGCATGTTACTTGCTATTTTTGGTACCCAAATTATAACGATGATCATGTTATTATCTGTTTTAAGTGGAGAATCTCATTTGTTGTGTTCTTGAGGGACATTGATATTTTTATCTAAAATGTGGAACCTTATTTTTGAAACAAATTATGTTTATCAAAGCTGTATGCCAACCTAGTTTCTATTATATACATCATATTTTGGAATGGAACCCCTGTTTTCATAACTGTATTTTACTATCAATGCTTTTACTCACTGAGCTATCAACTGAATTAGTTGTTAAACATTTTTAGGTGAGAGAAGGACTTAGAGTGGACTCATGGCTTACCAGGGACTCTATCTTATGGACCTCTAGGATATTCATTTATTTTGTTTTCACTTGTTATGTCGGTTTTGTGCATATATTGTAGTTGGGTTTTATTTAGAATTATTTTATTTTGTGGGCAGTTTGTGTTCCTTTTAGTATATATTTTTGGAAGTTAGTTATGGCTGGTTTTACCATTTATGCTTGTGACATATCACTGGATTGAGTTTTGGTTTATTTATTACTGGACTATTGTAACATTTATTTGATGTGATTATGGATTCGTGTTTAAGCTTACGTGTGCCTTGGGCTAAAGCCTTGTGGGCTAAAGCTTTGTGGGCCACGGCCGGTCATGCTTGGGTTTAGGGTGTGACCCAAGAACACTTCAATAAGTTGATCATCAATATATTGCTTTAATGATTCAATCTATTGGGAAAAACTTCAATAGTACAAGCCAAAAAACAGCAATTTACACTACTCTTTTTTGATTTGACGGCTATAATGAAACTTGATGAATCAAAATTGTTTGAATACTTGGGTTCAGTTGTTAGAACCTTCAAAAATTATGAAAGAGCATCACAAATCGTCTGTTCCAAGCAAAAATATTCGAAGAGTTTCATACTTCGCATGATGTCATCCATGACAAGAATAATGACAAAAAAACTGAGTCTTGGTAGTTCATGTGAAAATGGTAGAGAAATCTGGCATTGTGCTTACTAAACCTCCTTAATGCATAAATTCACCCCAATTTCTTCTTCCTTGTCAAGTACATTTTAACAACATAAAGATGCATAAATGCATTTTACTTTCCAGGTAGTAAATTTAATGAGAACAGAGACAACTATGTAGTTAGAAAGGGTGACACTAGAACTTTCCCCCACCAGATTGTAAAGATTCTGACTCTTGACTACCAGCAAAAGTATCTGTAATTCAAAGCAGAATGACAAGTTCAAGTGCAGAACTAAGGTATAAGAGAAACTAGAAACTGAACTCTATTAACTAGGCATTGTTTCAAATTTGAGAAGATGAGAAGATAAGAAAATATAGCATTCAAGGCGAGGAAACAAGCATGGTGTCCAGGTTAAGAACAGAAAAGATCAAGCATGAATAACATATGCAGATGGAGGCTCAGAACAATACTTTTCAAACACTTGGTAATGTCCTTTTTAGACCTCAAATCCATGGCCTATCAAGTAGTTTCCTTGTTCCAACAAATAAGGTGCCAAGAAGCCCTTGGTCTACTGCACAAAGAAAAAGAATGGTTATTGAATGTTGTATACAAACGAAACAATAGATCAACTTCAATGTCAATGCCTCTTACCTACAGAGATACAGCAATGCTTTAGATGCAGCCAAAATAATACCCATGAAATGTTCGACATAATCCTTCTCACCATCAACACAGGTGTGGTATCAGCAGATGAGTGCCTCATATTTGATCCAGTCTCCAGAATAAAGAATTGGTCAAAGCATATTTCAGGCCACATGAAATTGTCACGTAACTTAACATGAAATTGGAATTTACCTACAAGAGGGAAAATATGAGACGAGTTGATGAGGAAACACAAGGGTGAGTAATAAATATTAGAACTCATATAAGTTCCACTATCTTTCTGCTTTGAGAGTATACCATCAAATTTGCAATTCAGAGCCGAAAACCATATAATTCAATGATAGGATAGGACCACATTTGGAAAAATTATCTCCAATTTATGAGTTTCAGTAAAGACGAGTTAGAAGAAGAATCAAAATGAGTGATGAAGAAGATCTATGCAAGCACCATAGCAAAGTAAGGATTCTTCCCTCTAAAGTTTTAGGAATTTGGTATATTGTTTATAAAGAAAACCACATACCTGATTTTTATGTCACTTCAAAATTCCAAAGTTTAAAGTCAGCTAATTCAAAACTGAAATGGCTCTTTGATTTGTCGATCCAATATACATAATGTGTTGTAAATAATATTTCTTTGTGGGTGAGAACAATCTCCAGCCATAAAAACATTTTCTCTTTTCCCCACTTCAATCCAGCTGCATCCAACAGGCTTTTTGAGATCTCTTGTCCTCATAAGCCTTCTTATCTCAAGAACACCATCCCATCTAGCTTCTGCAGCATATAAGTTTGATAACACCACATAGTTTCCAATATCACTAGCTTCAATTTCGAAAAGCTGATCAGCGACAACACGTCCCATTTCCACCTGATGGTGGGTTCTACAAGCACCAAGTAACGTCCCCCATACACTGGCATTAGCTTCAATGGGCATTTTAGACACAAAAGAATATGCATCATTAATTTGACCTCCTCGAGCAAGGAGATCCACCACACAAGCATACTGCTCCGTGGTTGGTTCCATGCCATGTACCTTGTTTATTGAATAAAAAATCTTCAATCCTTCGTCAACAAGGCCAGTATGACTGCAAGCAGATAATACCGCAGTTATTATAACATGGTCTGGCTTTACACCCAAATCAAGCATGTGAGAGAAGACACCCAATGCTTCTTTTCCCATGCCATGCATGGCATACCCTCCAACCATAGCCGTGAAGATAATCAGATCCTTCTGATGAGCTGATTGGAAGAGCTTGTATGCCGAATTGATACTTCCACATTTCGAATATACATCTAACAGAGCTGCCTTCAAGCGAACATCTTGGAAACAAGCCCTAACCACATATCCGTGGCATTGCCTGAGCAGGTGGATTGAGGCCATTTGAGCACAAACAGGAAGGAGGCTCATAACAGTTACGTCATCAGGCTTCACTCCATGACTTTTTAGCTCATGAAGCAGACTTAGAGCTTGACCGGGACAATCATTTTCAGCATAAACTCGAATCATTAGGTTCCAAGTGGTGAGATCCCTTTCAGACATACCATGAAATATCTTATGTGCATCATTGGGTGAGCCACAACTCACATATCCTGAGATGATTGAATTGCATGTGATCACATTCCTCTTCCCCGATAAACTTTCAAAAATCTTCGATGCGTACTCCATTTCACCACATTTGGCATATGCGTTGATTATTGCATTGCCAAGAGTAGGCGTAACATCGCCTAGCAAAAGACCAGACTTTATAGAAAATCCATGAGCCTCTTTAACCTTGTTGACTTTGGAAAGATTAGCACAAAATTGAATTATAGCCAAGATAGTTATGGAGTCGGGTCTTATCCTTTCCTCAAGCATCCAATGTAAGAGGCCAACAAACTGACATTCAAGCTGACTTTCTGCAATGGCATCAAGAATAGCATTCCACGATATCAAGTCTCTCCTATAAATTGATAAAAAGGTCCTGAATGCAGCTTCTATGTCGCTGCATTTTGCATAAAAACTTATTAGGGCATTTCCCACTGCTGTATCATCGTTTAGTCGATGATGATGTATAACATACCCATGAATCTGCTTGCCCACCTGCAAATTACGTAAATGGGCACAAGCAGGAAGAATGCTGAGAAGAGTGACAGAGTCTGGTCCAACCCGGTCCACTGAGAGGAATTCATGAAACAACTCCAAAGCTCTCAACCATTCACTGTTTGAGGTGTACCCAGATATTATTGTATTCCAGGAAACTAAATCCCTCGTTGTCATTCTCTGGAACACAGACTCTGCATCTTCCATTTGTCCAATCCTCGAGTAGAAGCTCACAAGAGCATTGACTACTGAAACATCTGCTACCAGCTCAGCCCGCCTCAGCACATGGCAATGTATCTCTTTCCCAAAATGGTAAGCAATATTCTCGTGTAACAAAGCACAAACAGGCAAAATGTTTGCAATAGTTGCGTAATTAGGTGATATTGATCCTTTCGCCATCCAACTAAACAATTTAAAAGCATCGTCATTAAAATTGTTCTCTGCAAATCCAGCAATTATCGCGTTCCATGAAACAACATCTTTCTCAGGAATTCTTTCAAACACATGATATGCATCATCATGGGCATGCCCGGATTTGGCATAAAAGGATACCAGAGCATTGCCTACCAAGGTATGAGAGTCTAACCTAGATTTGATCACATAAGAGTGCACACTTTTGCCTGAAACCAAGGCTCCTGTGCGTGCACACACAGGAAGAATGATAGCAACAGTTACAGAGGTGGGTTTAGGATCTATCCCAATATGCATTGAATGAAACAACCTCAAAACCTCAGAATCATGATTCATGGACCTGGACAGAGCAAACCCAGATAGGACTATGTTCCACATGACTGAATCACAATGGGTTATTTGAGCAAACAGTTTTTGACAGTCATCAAGAGCATTACACTTAGAATACATGTTAAGTAGTGATTTGGAAACAAGGTTGCAGGAAGTGTGGCCATGCTTAACAAGATGGCTATGAAGAGCTTTCCCAAAGTTGATGTCAGCAATGGAAGCAGCACATGATTTAAGAATGGTTGCTAAGGCTTGGTAATCAGGTTTGGAGACAATATTGAACATCCTATCTTTTTAAGGAAGAGGAGCAAGGCTTCATTTGTCATGTCTTTGATGGCGTGCTCCTTTTTTCCTCATCGAGGGCATAATCAACAAGGGGTTTCAGTTGCCCAACTGCCAAGATGTGTAGTTTGTGTAAGAATCGAAGTGACGTGATCCTATAAAAATATGTAGAAGAATTGGTTCAATAATCAATTTAGTAAACATTCTTGGTGGTATAGAATTTCCCTCTTATAAATTGTAATTTGAAATTGACAAAAAATTACAAATATTAGAAAAAAATATTACATTCAAACATACATCATCCAATATAAGCACTCCTCCGTACATCATCCATTCATACTCGTTCATACCTCTCTTGTCAGCTCTAATCCGAGTAGACATAGATAATCCAAACCATCTACTTCGTAGGTCTTGCAGTAAAAGTTATCCATACAAAAAATCAACTGTATCAAACAACTATAAACACTAGAACAAATTACATTTTGTTTCATAAAATAAATAATTTGAGTTTACAATCATATTTGCCTTTCATTTTATAAAACAAAATGTGATTTGTTCTTGTAATTATAGATTTCCAATAAAAGTGATTTTTTGTATGGACGACTTTTATTGCGCGATCTATGAGGTGGACGGTTTAGATAATCGATGTGGATCCGAATTGAGACTCATAGAAAGGGTGTCAATGAGTATGGAGAGATAAAAGTATGAAAAGGAGTTCATTCCAAGAAGTAAAGACCTTGATTGCGTTGCAAAATACCATAAGATAAGGGTACATTACTCTCACACCCCTGAATACTTCTGAAATAACACTGTCATCCCTCTATTCTTTAAAATATCTCTGACCTCCCTTACTTTTTGCATAATAGATGGACCCATATGTGAGTCAACTGTTAGTTGACCTAATAGAATTTGCTGGTGTAAGCAAAACACTCACCCCCTCAATGCCTAATTTACCCTTGCCATAGGCACTGTTTCGTTTGTATTTGTGAAATAATTTTGAAAAATAATTTTCTAGAAAGAGTTCACAAAATTTAAAAAATTGTTTGGTTGTTTATTTTGAAAATAATTTTGGAGTTTGAGATTATTTTATTTTATTATTATTATTTTTTTTTGTAGCTGAATAGATAAGTGTGAGAGAAAAAATGATTGATTGATGTGTAGTAGGGAGAAAAGTGATTTTAACTTTTTTTTCTTTTTCAAAAAGTTTCAACCAAATAAATTTTTGAAATTTTTTCTTAAAAGAGACCAACCAAACAAGGCATATTATTCTCTTCTCTACATCAGCTCTCTCCACCATTTTGCAAAATTCTTCAACTACACAACAACCTTTACCACCCAGAAACCTAATTACACAGCCACCTTCACCTTCCACTCAACTAAAGGTGTAGAGTGTGTAATGAATTTCATATACAATGCATGCCCACATCCAATAATACCATTTAACAAATAATAACCATTGAGTATAATAAAACCATGTATAAAATGCAGTAATTGTGAACCACATATCAACAAACCAACATTCTTCAATTTCTTTTTTAATACAAAGATATGTTACACTAATAGGACAACAAGAGAACAGTGAATGAAGCTAAGCATTTCTTACCATTAAGAAGCATCTGAATTCAGCCAATAAGATAGGTACTAAAATCCATGGACAACAAGAATTTGCTACCGAATTCTTAAAGGACCCACGTATGAATAAGGAAAGCTGCTTGGATTGAGAAGACAAAAGAAAATCATTTAATCCAAATAGAACATTTCCTGCTGTTCAGAGCATTTCCAAATTGGGAGACCCAAAAGACATGAGCAACCTACACCCAACCCCTTAAAACCCCCCAAAACAAACCCTCCCCCATCCCCACAACCAGCACCCAACCATCCTTTACCCTCACAACCACTATAACCCACACCCAACCCACCAGTGCAACCCAAATCCAAACCAAACAAGAATTGGGAAAATAATTCAAAACCAAACAAGAATTGGGGAAAATAATTCAAATCCAAGGGGTTGTTTGGCATATAATTTGACTTTTTACAAAAAGATGTGCAAAGTGGTAGAGAGGCACTACAACAAATAGCACTTTTGGCGACTAAATTTTTGGTCTCCAAAAGTCAATTTTTAGTCGCCAAAACTTTTTAGCGATTAAAATTTTTGGTCGCCACGTTAGTCAGTGACCAATTGTCGGGAAAGGTTTTGGCGACTAAAAAGAATTTAGTTACCGAAAGTCATCAACTGCCGACTAATTTTTTAGTAGCCAAAATCTTTTCAAAAAAATTAATATCGCATTTTCAACAACTAAAAAATTTTTTCGCCTAAAACTAAAATTATTTAGGACTAAAATTCTTGACTAGATATAAGGGAGACCTGTTTTATTAACTGCTCAAATGTGTTTGTAAAAAATATTTTAATTTCTAAATGGAAACTGTAATTATTATAAAGGACATGCTGTTTCATATGCTTTACTCTTAAAACATGGGAAGAAAATGTAATAAACAAATCTTTTCCTGCCTAGAATTGGGTTTTTTCACGTGAATTTTAATAATAAAAAAAGTGCACTGCCACTTGGGTTTTTAAGTCTAACATTCAATTTAGTTGCTTCATATTGGAAATGATGTGCATTCTCAACATCAAGTATGGCCTCATACAAAAAATTGGGAATTCACACATGCACATACAAATGAATGTGTGCTTGCTTGCATTCACCCTTAAAAAATCATACAATTTGGGCATATTGCTTCACAGTAGGTCTAAACCCCTTCGTCAATTGATCCAAGTTGGACATTTGTAGTTTGTGAGTAGTTTGATTGAATCCTGTGAGTGAGACAATTTCTTGATTTGTAAGCAATTTGAATGAATCATGCTATATCTTTTTATCATATTTGAAAAATCTAGAAATCCCCTAGATGTTGATTTGTGATTATGTATCAATTTTAAGCAGAATATAACAATCTCAATCAAACAATCAAGACAAAGAGACACAACGATTTAACGTGGAAAAAACCACAATTGGACAGTATAATAAAACCATGTATAAAATGCAGCAATTGTGAACCACATATCAACAAACCAACATTCTTCAATTTCTTTTTTAATACAAAGATATGTTACACTAATAGGACAACAAGAGAACAGTGAATGAAGCTAAGCATTTCTTACCATTAAGAAGCATCTGAATTCAGCCAATAAGATAGGTACTAAAATCCATGGACAACAAGAATTTGCTACCGAATTCTTAAAGGACCCACGTATGAATAAGGAAAGCTGCTTGGATTGAGAAGACAAAAGAAAATCATTTAATCCAAATAGAACATTTCCTGCTGTTCAGAGCATTTCCAAATTGGGAGACCCAAAAGACATGAGCAACCTACACCCAACCCCTTAAAACCCCCCAAAACAAACCCTCCCCCATCCCCACAACCAGCACCCAACCATCCTTTACCCTCACAACCACTATAACCCACACCCAACCCACCAGTGCAACCCAAATCCAAACCAAACAAGAATTGGGAAAATAATTCAAAACCAAACAAGAATTGGGGAAAATAATTCAAATCCAAGGGGTTGTTTGGCATATAATTTGACTTTTTACAAAAAGATGTGCAAAGTGGTAGAGAGGCACTACAACAAATAGCACTTTTGGCGACTAAATTTTTGGTCTCCAAAAGTCAATTTTTAGTCGCCAAAACTTTTTAGCGATTAAAATTTTTGGTCGCCACGTTAGTCAATGACCAATTGTCGGGAAAGGTTTCGCCGACTAAAAAGAATTTAGTTACCGAAAGTCATCAATTGCCGACTAATTTTTTAGTCGCAAAAATCTTTTCAAAAAAATTAATATCGCATTTTCAACAACTAAAAAAATTTTTCGCCTAAAACTAAAATTATTTAGGACGAAAATTCTTGACTAGATATAAGGGAGACCTGTTTTATTAACTGCTCAAATGTGTTTGTAAAAAATATTTTAATTTCTAAATGGAAACTGTAATTATTATAAAGGACATGCTGTTTCATATGCTTTACTCTTAAAACATGGGAAGAAAATGTAATAAACAAATCTTTTCCTGCCTAGAATTGGGTTTTTTCACGTGAATTTTAATAATAAAAAAAGTGCACTGCCACTTGGGTTTTTAAGTCTAACATTCAATTTAGTTGCTTCATATTGGAAATGATGTGCATTCTCAACATCAAGTATGGCCTCATACAAAAAATTGGGGATTCACACATGCACATACAAATGAATGTGTGCTTGCTTGCATTCACCCTTAAAAAATCATACAATTTGGGCATATTGCTTCACAGTGGGTCTAAACCCCTTTGTCAATTGATCCAAGCTGGACATTTGTAGTTTGTGAGTAGTTTGATTGAATCCTGTGAGTGAGACAATTTCTTGATTTGTAAGCAATTTGAATGAATCATGCTATATCTTTTTATCATATTGTTTATTTAATAGATGAGGAATGTATTCCGGATTTGGTCAATGATACCTGAGAACTATTGCTTTTGGCATATGCTATAATTAGCATAAAGATATTCTAGTAAATTGTAATGAATTAATGCTTTCATTTGTTCAAAAATTTCAGAGTTCCATCTAGGGGTTTTTTTTGTCAGTCAATAAGATAAATTTCAAATATTATTACAAATTTTAAATATTTTATGAGAACTCAATCAAACTAGACATTCAACTATGTGAGTGAGTTTAGTAGTTACTTATCTCACAGTATCCAACCCCAATGTGGCCTTAGATAAGAAGTCCTCATACCTCTTCCTCTTAGTTATAGATATTTTGGCCAGAGCCCTAGTTTATGCGTCTCAATAGAAACAAATTATGCATTTAAAATTAAAAGCTTCAAGAAATAGTCCCTCTATCTCCAATACTGTGTTTTTCCGGTGACTGTTTTGTATTTGTTAAAAGCTCCCAATTCTAATGTAATTTCTACACAAAATGTTTTACAAACTTTCGCCCACACGGCAGGACAATCCATTAATTATTCTAAATCTGTTGCTTTTTTCTTCCCTAACATCCTGGTTCATGAAAGGTTCATCAATTGGCTTTTGCTTGAAATCACATAACAATAAATATTTAGGTCTTCTACTTATTTCGGTCTTCCACTTATTTTGTTGATAAATTTCTTTCCTATGTTGGCCAATCCACATTGATCAAACATTGCCTAGTTCCCTTCCTACTTACACTATGTCCTTCTTTCCTATCTCTAAAATCACCATCAACAAATTTGAATCCTGTTGTCTGAATTTTCTGTAGAATAGTTGCCCCTCATCACAAAAATATCTAGATTGAACTTTACAAACCCATAAAAAATATCCAGATTCAAGCAATCAGAAACAACCAAAC